AATCCTTTTTGAAAAGAAACACAACTGTATTTAGTCTATTTAAAGTTAAGCTACATATGAGGTGTAATAAATTAGGGAGCAGTCTTGGGAGGGAAATGCTAGAGAATTTGACTGCAAATATCTTCAGTGTTCAGTGCGTGTTATTCTTAAATAGAACTTAATGAAATAAATGTGAGTACAGATAAGCGTGTGGAAATGCATTATACAGCCACGTCAGTGAATCTTTTCTTTTACCTCTGGGGATGAGCAAAACCAGTTAAAATACAAAGTGTGGTTACTCATCTGTTTCAGGCAAGGACACCAGCTCGCGGGAGCGTGGGAAGAATCATCAAATAAGTCTTCCTAAAATTGGGCATTAAACCATTAAAAATGTTTTGTAAATGGGATTTTTCTAGTAAAGGGAGTATGTAATATAAACCATAATTAAGAAATTGAATATGAGTTTTTACTAGTGGCAAAAAAATCCGTTTCTATACAAATGTTTTATGCGTATTTGATGAAGTATGTATTAGGATAAAGTTTTAAACACACTTAAACTTCTTTACCCTAAGCACCAATTTTCACAAAGGTGGTAGCTGTGCATCCTTGTTTCAGCACCTTAAGTGAAGGCAGAAGGAGGATAGAGAAATCCTTTTGGTTTTAATAGGAGAAGGCTGGGCAGTTGGGGCATCTGTGCTGTCTGATAGGTGGCCAAGCTTTGGGCCAGGAGCATGGGAGAAGACACAAGCAGGGGTAGGGGAACTGGCACTATCACAGTGTCAGGCCAAAGGGGAGTGACCAGGAGCAAATTTCACCACTTTGAGGTTTCAGGTTGGGAGCAGGGCTCACGGCATTTCCTGAGGGAGCTTAAGGAGCTCTCCATGAAATGGGAAGGCTGGACGTGCTGCAGAGAACCGACACTGTAGGTGTGAGCTGGAGGACCTAGAATTACAGTGGGAAGGCCATCACGGAGCCTTCACCACTGGTAATGAAAGGGTGCAAAGCTGGGGTTTGCACAATGGGGACTTAGACAGGAAGCAAATTCATAGGAAACTGGTCTTCCTTCGGCCTGCTGCTCGCAAAACAGGCTATTCTTCAGAGCTGCAACTGAGCGAGGAAAGGAAGAGGGCATGAAGTAATGTGGGAGGCATGTTTCTTGAGTCTCCCTAGGAATGACCTCGGGGCCAGAGGATTTCTTTTGCTGCAGAAAGAAAAAGGATTTGTCATGGATCCCTTCTCTGGAAATGGTGCTAGCCATTTTATGCGTTTTATCTCAGCAATATATCCACCTAAAAATTAAACCTTCTCGCATCACTTGGCAACTTGTTTGTAAGAACAGAAATGAACCAGTTTTGTGTGGGTCAGCTGTAGACTGTGAACAGCATTATTTCCTATGAAATGCCATAGCGTAAAACAATCTTTCTGCTGCTCTGCAAAGCTTTTGCACCCATTCTTTTGCCCTCGCTTGAAAGCTAATCCGTTGCTTTAGGTTTTTCCTTAACAACTAGTTGTATTACAAAGGATTATGTTTTCAGGTGAATTGTAACCAATGAGTCAGAATGGGGAAAATACAGTTGCAGTTCACTAGTAGGTAAGTTTTCATTAAAACAGAGACAACAAAAATGACAAAATTATGACTGCAATCACAAGTATATTTGACTCTTCCGGATATGACTCCTGAAGTGCTTGAATGTTTTGGTTTCCATGAAATGCCTTATGTAGGTTTCATTCCATTCAGACATAATAGGGTTACCCTTACAAACAGTAGTAAGTGAACGTTTCTGTTAGTAACAAGTAATGGCAGTGTTTACTTTTCCAAAGATGACTCATGTAGATTGTACTTTCTTTTCTTTTAACGGAGTTGTGATTTTTGTCATAGACGCATACGAAGTTTATAATTGTCCTAACTTTATTCGTGCTTAGCTATGACCAGCCATCCTACTAAATTGTATTTTTAGACTTGTTTCCTAAGGAAATGAAGCTTACACCAGTCATGCTGTTACAGTCAGCTGTCATCGTCCATCCATCTGTCCACCCTTGATAACTCAGCCAATTTTAAGCAAACTTGACAGACTGGCAGAGATAAACTAACTAGGTTTCTCCAACTCTGTGCCTGGGAGGGTTATTGCTGGTGTCCCTCACTGGAGTAGAGGCCAGAGCACCCCCAGCTTTGCTTAGTCCAGGCAGCGCCGAAAGGCAGCGGGGCGCTGGGTGACGAGCTTGGCTGGCCAGCCCAATGAAGGAAGGGAGGGCAGCACCAGGGGAGATGGAGTGTGCTTTGAAGGCAGTTTGGAGATGGCAGTGGGGAACCGGAGGTATGAGGACTTGGGTATATGAAGGCAGTCACAGGGTAAAGGGACTTACTGTGAATCCTGCAGGAGATGAGGGAGCAAAGGAGGAGTAGTGTGGCAGGAGGTGTAAGGAATAAAACAGGAACAGATTTCCTTTATTTTGCTCATGGAACAACTTGTTTCCTCTTCTGTCATAGACGCAGCTATGAATGCTGTAACCTCACAGAAAAAAATGAGTGCTAGATAATGTTGTGCACGCCCTTTGCTGTGCTTGGCTGCAGATGGGTCTCTGCATACTTAGTTACCTTGGTCAAACCAGCTGGAAACACAGTATTTGGTGTACATCGCTGCTGTTACAAAAGGCTAATCATGCTATCAGCCTTTAAAAGTTTGGTTAGATTGAAAGTTAAGCTTAAACTGAAGAGCTCCGGCTGTCTTTATTGACAAAGAAAAAAAGCAAAGTTTCTGATTATCCCCCTCCTTCCCCCACCGTGTTTGCTGACTTGGGAGGACAGAAAGGAACATTTGAAACACCAGATGCAGCACTGGAAGGTTTGTGGGAAAAGATGCAATTTAAGAAAGTGAGGGTGGATGATAACCTTTTGCTAAATGTTCAAATAACTTTGTCAGACCTCAGATTTTCTTTTGAGAATGTTTTCACCTATTTGTCAACATTTTTTTCTCTAGATACTTCAGTTTATGGTGTTCTTTTATCACACCTGCAACCCCATATCTGACAGTTCTCTCTCTGCTCTGGTTGTCAGCTTGCTTTCTCCTGGCCAGCTACTTCATCATTTGCTTGAGTTTTTCTTTTATTTTATTAGTTTTCCTGCTGTAATTCCAGGAAGTGGTGCTGCATATCTGCATCACAAAGCAAATCAGTACCTAAGCTTTTAATCTGGAAAGTTCAATCTCAGTGTAGGGCTTTATGTAGGGTGAATCTATTGAAATAACAGTTCCTTGTTTTCCATGAAATTAAAACAAGTAATTTCCCCTCTTTCCTAACAGAACAACCAAGAAGTTGTGTTTGTTTATATCATCCTAATTTAATGCTCCTTAGCTCTGATACATCCTTGTCTTTTTGTTGAAAATGATCTCTAAACTGATGAAAATTTCCAGTCTTGGCAGAGATGGGAGCTTGGCCAGCTTCCGATTAGTGCTTGCTTGGACATGCTTTTCCTGTGATTGTCTCCCCTAGTACAATAAGCTGCTCTCTCTCATTTTGCGTGAAAGTGCAGCCACCGGTGTAGTTAGAATGACATTAGGATGTAAGCAGGCTCCTGCAGGAAGCAAGGAGCTGCTGGGGAAGGTCAGGAAACACTTTAGGATCATTGGAATTTTCTGCTGTCTTCAGAGACCTTCAGAATGTATTAATTAATGTATTTAACCCTTCTCGTTAGCAGTCCCTGTGTGATCCTGTGTGTGCTGTTTGTGCTGTACAGCTAGCCCTGTGAAATAAACCAGGTAGTTTTGCACTGAATAAGCAGCTTTGATGAAGTTATCCATTGTATATGCATGTACATATGTAGGTATATATATTCAAAAAGCAGATGCACTTTTCAGCAGTGGAGTAGCCAGATTAAATAGTCCTGAACTGTTAAAAATGAAATAGCATGCATCTCCTTCTATCAAATTGTTCAAAGCAAGACAAGCAAAGTCCTATTTATTTGTTTATTTGTTCTCATTCAATCTGCCATGATCAGCATGTACTCATTGTGTCTTAAGTGAATCTCTCAGCTGCCAGCAAGGCTTCTAGGAGCGTGGAGAAAAGTACAAAAGCTCCTACTTCTATGTTGGTTTCTGCTTTCTGTCGCTTACATACTGTGTGTTGCTTGGTTTGTGCTATCCTGAGACTTCATCGTTTTTCTCCTCAGAACTTTTTGAAGTGGATTTCACCAGAAAGGACTACTTGTTCGCTTTATCTTTCTGGGGTTTATATATGCTTAAGCAGTCTTTGCTGCAGAAGTTTGAAAAGTACACAAAGTGTGTTGTGCAGTTTTTCTTCCATATTTAAACAATTCCTCTAAGGAAAAAAAAAAGTTACGTATTTAATGTTATTGCTGTTTCTTCTGTGCATTGTATTTCACACTATAATTATAGCCACGACAGTATGTCAGAATTTACAGATTTTAGGGGAATGGATGCAAATGGTCTTCCTGACAGTCAGGTTTATGCTTTTATAGTACATGATGAACTGTGGATAAAAGAGGTGTGCATTTCAAAAGGGAGGAGTTGCAGCTGTAGCTGCCTGGGGACCGACTGAAGGATGAAGAGAACAAAATGTAATCTGCAGAGAAACTTAACCTTTTATTGCTGTGCTAGTTTATTTTTGTAGATTTTCTTTCAAGTTTTGCTTAAGCCAAATTTAAGTCATCACTAAAATTAAAAGGCATGATCTTTTGGCTGGATGTTTAAGAGGCATAACAGCAAGCTGTGCAACGTTCCAGTGATTAGCTGTTCTTGTAGTGTGAAGAAACCATTGGGTTTAGGCATGTTCAAACTCTGGTACTTCTGGGAGGGAAACAGAGCAGTTATAACACAAATTGCTCCTTAGCTAATGGTGTATCAGCTGGATGTTAATCTCTTAAAGGTGTTACTGTTTCTGTGTAATGGTACAAAAGAGATCTCCATTTAGCAGTGTTGTGACGGAGGAGCACATAACCAAATCCAGTGTTTGCAATCTGGGGCCGAGCATTCCAAGTGACCACTTTACATTTCTCTCTTCAACAGGTTTGGGAAAAACCAAGAGAAAGACGAGCGCGAGAGACGCCTCACCTACCCCTAGTACAGACGCAGAATACCCGTCCAACGGCAGCAGTGCCGACCGGATTTATGATCTCAACATTCCAGCCTATGTGAAATTCGCCTATGTTGCAGAGAGGGAGGATGAACTGTCCCTCGTTAAAGGATCCCGAGTGATTGTCATGGAGAAATGCAGCGACGGCTGGTGGAGAGGTAGCTACAATGGACAGATTGGCTGGTTTCCTTCGAACTATGTGGTAGAGGAGGTTGAGGAGGCAACTGCAGATTCACCCAGCTTTCTCAACTTAAGGAAAGGCGCTTCCATGAGTAACGGCCAGGGCACCAAAGTACTCCATGTTGTTCAGACACTGTATCCATTCAGCTCCGTCACAGAAGAAGAGCTCAACTTTGAAAAAGGGGAAACAATGGAAGTCATTGAAAAGCCAGAAAATGACCCAGAATGGTGGAAATGTAAAAATTCCAGAGGGCAAATTGGTCTTGTTCCTAAAAACTATGTAGTAATCATTAGTGATGGTCCTACCATTAACACTTCCCATCCACCTCAGATAAGCTACACGGGACCATCTTCTACTGGACGGTTTGCTGGAAGAGAGTGGTATTACGGGAATGTTACCCGGCACCAAGCAGAATGTGCCCTGAATGAAAGGGGAGTGGAAGGAGACTTCCTTGTTAGAGATAGTGAATCTTCGGTAAGTGGTACTCAGCCCAGCAGGCTTTGTAATACCCCATGCTTGGGTTAGCAAGCATGACCACTAACAGCTTCCCTATATGTAGGCATTACCAACCGATACACTTGCTGCTTCTAAGAGTCAGTCTGTTACTGAAATGCAGTGACATTTACGCTGAAATTTAATGGCTGGGTCTGTGTTATCCAGGAGGGGTTAATTAATGAACAAGCAAGTAAATATTTCAGGCTTCAGTCTGACTTTTTACCTGTTCCTTATGTGCAATCTTCCTCAAATTTACAGCACTACAAGATAAAATAGTTCTTGTGAATTGCAAATTTAGTCATTTGATTTTAAAGGTAATTTCAAATGGGGTCTTCGCATTGGTCAGTTTTCTGCTTTTAATTGAACAGTAATATAGGTTCTTTATTGGTTAAATTTCCATTATAATGTATTTCTGCTCTACTTACCTTATTACAACCTAAACAATCTAAAGTATTGTATCTAATAGTTAAGATTACGAAACACAACAGTGAGGGTCAAGTCGGCAGCTCACATGCTTTGTAAATTGAGCCTTGATGACATCAGAGGGATATAAGTAATACTGAGTAGGGATCCTTGTAATCCTGAAAGTTCAGATTTAAAATTACACTGAAAGGCCTTTCGTGCATGCTGAGGCCAGAGAACTCATAGTTAAAGTGCTCAAAATTTTATTATCCCTTAACTGTGGTTTGGAAAAGGTGACAGATTTTAATAATTCCCTAATAGGTTTTTCAAAAGCTATGAAAAAAATTTGAATCAAATATGAATTTGCAATTAGGGCTTTTCTACATTTATTGTCTCAGTTGTAGGACCATTCCCTGAAGACAAATTGCTGTTTCATAGATGTCTCCATATTTTGCTGCTTCACATATAGAAGTTCAAAATTAATAGTTATATTAGCACAGTCTTCTAAATTGAGCATATGATACTGCTAAAATCAGTATAGCATACGCAGCTACAGACATCTATCATCTTTGTGTCAGGTTTCACTGTGCCTGTATTGTGGGCTATCCTGGTTTACAATGTAGATTGCAAATAAAAACTAAAGCAGGGTCAACTGCATAGAGCTTGAGCCATAATATGTTTTTAGAAAGATTTCTTGACTCTCATGTCTTCAAAAGGCTGTATTGATTGCCTTTATCACTTCTGGTTAGAACTTGAGGTATTCTTTATCATAATTGTCTATAAATCAGGGAAAAACTATTCTCATATGTTATTCCTCATGTAAATTGTTTCAGTAACTAGTCAGTAGTGGGTGTTGGCATGACTGCATGCTGGAAGAAAACAAAGAGCTTGCTTTAAGTAAAGGGGAGAATTAAGCTTGAGTTCAAATCCGGGAGTAAAGATCCTTTTAGCTCCTGATACTTTTTTGGAAGTATTTTGGAACAGAATCATTTGCTGATTCTGTTCTTCCTAAGTTACAATTTCAGGTACTCAGAAGAGGTCCCAAAATGAAGTAAAAATCTGAGGTGGTATTAAGGAAGATTCATTAGGTAGTGCAAACTAAAGGATACTCTTTAGTGGACAAACAACTAAGTATTTTGGGCTTCAATTTGACTTTTCATGTGTTTCTTATATGCAGTACTAAAACTTGGGGTTGGCTGGCATGTTGGCTCTTGGCAAGGGACATGAATAGAGGCTTAGAGTGACAGCAGAGCAACAGCTGAAAGACAAGGAAATTGTTAATTTTGCAGGGTTTTCTGTATCCAAATACAACTTTGCATTCTAATTATTGGAAAACAGTAGTAGTTTATTGTTATTATTACTGAAGTTAGGACTCTTGCTATACTGAAATTTTTACATCATATAGAACGTTATTGACAAAACATAATTCTGTAACAGTCCCAAATATTTTTTCTTTTTCTTGATCTGCATCCAGTAGTGTTGTTGTCTGATTAAATCTCAGGCATCTTTCCTTGATGAATTTGCTCTGAAGAAGACATGATAGCTGTCAAACTCCCCTTTGTTTGAAGCTCTGTGTCATCGAGTTCCTATTTCTGCTCTTAGTTAACTGTAATTACTAACTTAGTGAAGCCAGATGCAAATGAACCAAAGGAGAATAGGAAGAAAATCAGAAATTTAGAAAACATGACTGACAGAGCCTGAGAGGAATCAAGTTTGTTTAGTCAACAGAAGAAGAGACTGAAGTGGGGCATAGAGTCTTCTAAAATGTAGAAAGCTACTACAGGATTATGGTAATCATTAAATTACAGTAGTTCAGCTGTCTCTTCAAAGTAGCATCCTGTCTGGCAGGGGCAGGCGGATATACTGGATGCAGTGTACCCTTGGTGTGTCTGTCCATCAGACAGAAGCTCACTATCAAATCTGGATGCTGCATGTGGGGTTATCCTGAGGCAGTAGCTATCAATTTCCTTCTGCCTTTTTAGAAAGTGCTAGGACTTTGAAGTTTGAAAGTTAATACATTACTTAAAATACAAAAATGCACAGCCATTTCTCAGCAGATGCCATGTCACAGTGACCACCGTGCTATGGCTTGTTTCTTAGCTCTTAAGAGTATGCCTCTGGAGCAAATGAATTTCCTTGAAAGGACACAGTAACCTTTCAACTTAATATGACATCGTAGCATTAAACACACTTGTATTCAAAGCAGTTTCAAATTTGCTACTTGCGTTGTTGCTGGGGAAATTGTTGCTCGTGGAGCACGCAAAGATTAATGCAGAATGTGGTCTTCAAGTTGTTTCCAGCATCTGTTACTGGAATCCCAGAAAATTTGCTCAATTCTTATTACAGCAAGTTTCTTGCACACATGCAATTAAAAAAATTGCTGAATTGAGGAACTTATCTGACTTCGCCCCACCTTTTCCTAATCTTGATCTGGTCTTACAGATCTTATATTTAGGGGTTTTTTTGAGTAATGAGGAAAACTGTAGTTACGCATGTAAAGACCTCCTTTGTTTTAGTACTGCTAGAGAATTCTAGGTTTTATTATGTTAAAAGAAATGCTTTACATCTCAAACTTGTCTGCCCTAATCTTTATATATCATACCATCATATAATTTGTTTATGTATGTGAATTATAAAAGCATTGGGGATAGCTACTTTGTGGGTTGGGGGGGGAGAGGGGTGTTTCTCCTGAAGTGCCAAGAGTGACATAATAAGCGAATGGGCATACTTAAGAAAAAGATCATAAAAGATCTATTTCAAGCTCATTATGTATGGAACAAATAAAAATTAATAACTGTTAAATTTTTGACAGTTGCCATACTTCAAATGTGTGACTAGGGAGGCTGTTTATGCTGTGGCTAAGAGTCGCCAGGAGTGTCTGCACGATCAGAGCAAAAGATCTTGACTAGAAAGAACAGACCAAAGTTTGCTCATCTTTCCACAAGACCATCACTTCCTATTCTATTGTGTTATGAATCCACCTATTAAAGCTGTGGATGCAGGCATTACTCCTTTCTAAAAAGGCCCATCAATAAAACTGCGAGTCATCCTGCTAATCCCATTCCTGATTTTTGACCTATTTTAGGGCTTTCTATAGCCTTCCATTGCCATAGTTACAAAAGGTTGTCTGTATAAAAGTTTTTCTTAGATTTGAGTTTTGCTCTTGTTACTGAGCTGAAAAGCTCTCCTTGGATAGATGAAGGTTTGTATTATTCTATATTCATTTGATGTGACTGTCATGTTTTTCCATTTCAGATTCTAGTAGCTGCAAGATTTTACAATGTTTCTCTAGATTTTAAACTCACCAGATGTTTGTCTCACAGCTAGATTCCTTAGCCAGAAATACTCTCCTCAGTTGCACTTAGATCTAAGACATGCTGCCATAGTGGAAAGTATCCTGAGACAAACACTGTCAGGTAGCTAGGAGCCTGATTATCTTCATTAATTACGAAATACTATTATTAGAACCATAAACTTGTTAGAACCGTTTAGGCCCATAGTTTATGTAACAGCCACAGTTCCCTACTGATAACATTTTTTCCAGCTCTGTTATACCTAGGTCATGCCACCTTAGCTTTGGAGATGTAAAGGAGGAAACAGAAGTGGAACATACCTAGTGAGAAGTAATGCTTGACTTGTTCTTTCTGTTGCAGGCTGCTCGGTTGGTTAAAAACTGAAGTTGGTTGTCTCATTTAAGCAGCACTCCTGAATAAATAATGCAGATTTAATCTGTGCAGTCTCTGTACAGCCACTTTTTACCCTTTTTGAGTTGCAGGCTCTTTAGTGGTCAGATTTTTGTTCTCTGAGTGTAATACCTAACACAAGACAAACAAGTCTTGGCTGACACTTGGCCTGGGTTGGTTAGGTGATCATCATGCTTTGAAGATCTAAGATTCCACCAGGGAGAGAAGCAAATTCAGAAGGAAGAGAGTTTTTTGTTCAGGTTCACCCTGGGAAACAAGTGTGCTTGTGAATGCTGTAGTTAACAGGAAGCAGTAACAGGTTGTGGCTGGTGATGTGGGAGGGCAACCACACAATATTTCTAGCTTCTAAGCAGATTGTCTGTTGCAGACACCCGTAAACTTCAAAGGGAGTTTCTATTGGGACTTGCAGGCCCCTTACATTCTGCTGTGAGTGGGTACAAAACTGGTGATGACACAAACACCACTGCTTCATAGCCCTGTGATGTCTTCCAATGAAGCAGAGGTGATGTTATTTCTCTCAGACCAGGTCTATTCATTAGCATGAATGAGCTACAAGTTTTTTTTTGACAATTTCAGAAGCAGTTATTCATTAGAAAGTAATGGCTGCCAATAGTGTCACAGTTATGAAGTTATAGTAACCAGCCCTAAATGGGGTTTTAGAGCATAGTATTAAGGTGATTCTGACTATTGTAGATGTAGTAAGATGATACTGAGGGCTGTAGGTATGACTGGATTTGTGTCAGTCCTTTGAGATAGCATTTGGCTTCTGTGCTCTTTGTCCAGCAATAGCAACAGCAGAGGGAGGAGGCACAGGTTGAGAGTTCATATGCTTTTTGAGGTGCTAATTCTGTAGCTTTCAGGGTGTCCCATATTTTTAATCCTGCAAGTGTTGGATAGAAGCAATGAAACGTGGCAACTGTTCAAAAACTGAAGCATTTGTCATGTTTTGTGACATGCTATGATTGATGAGTATGGCAGAGAGGAGAAGAAAGTTTATCTTTAAAAATAAGCTAAGGAAATAGCCCAGTGGCTTGTTTTAAATGGAAAAATAGAAACTTCATTAGAGCTGCATTTGAAGACCGATGCAGCCAATACATGTTTCTGACCTATGAAACATTGATTTTGGAACATTGTGAACATTACATAGAGAAGAAGGGTATTTGTTTATATCTAAATAAGGTAGAAGGGGTAGAAAACAGAATTAACACTCCCAGATGGTTCTTTTCAGCCTGACCTTAGGTTTTTGAGCTGTGACTTGTTTTTTTGGCTTGGTGACTGAGGAGGAGAAGGGGTGAAGGAAAACCTGGGTATGAAAGTAAAAGGAGTTGGGGAACTCCAAGTGATATGGTCTAGAAGAGTCTGAAGAGTGAGTGCATGAGAATATCTGTGATGGAGGAAGGACATTGCCAAGTGGAACTGGATTAAGAGGAAAAAATTAAGTTACAGGATCAGTAAAAGGCTTTCGAGAGGAAGATATTTTCCTCAACATTGCCATTTATGGTAAAATTGCCTTGTTTCATTCTCAAAAGGAGATTGTAAAGAGGGAAACAACTTCCCTGAGTTCACTTGTTTTCCATTATATCACTTTATAACTTATCTTCATGATAAAGTTTTCCATATTTTTTTGAAAAGACAGTGAAGTTTCTGACCAAAGGAGTAAAATTAAAGAAAGATCTTCCTACCTGTTGTCTTCCACGTGTTGCAGGCACCAGTTAACCTTTGATCATCTTAGTCATAAGCAGGAGTTAAAATAAAGGAATCTGAAACGATCAAAGTGCTGCTACACCTGGACTGAAGAGCTGCAGATGCATGACAGCTAATATTCAATTTTCTGTTTTAGGAATTGATTTAACTTCAGGCTTAGGTCTTCCCAATTATGACGGTACAGAAATATTCACAGGCTCCCTGCCATGAAGCTATGCTCTGGAATTCTGTTGCAGAATCAACAACTCTTCTATAGATTTCAGGGATTAAAGCTTACTTCTGATGTGCCTTTATTTAGTGTATGTGAGGCTTTTAATCCTGGAAGAGTTAGTGTGCAAACATCCAAAAGTAGCAATTAATTTAAGAGGGAGAAGGGAGAAAAATTGGCCAGCAGTTGAAACAAAATAGCTTTAACAGTAAATAAAATAAACAGACTTGGAGCAAATCCAAGGAAGACAGCAGGGAACCAATTCAAGCTGCATCGAACCAGCATACTTTGAAATGGTGATATTAAAAGCAGTAGTTTATCTAGAGGTTTGTTTTGTTTGTTTGATTTTTTTATTTTTTTTTTAGTAAGTATTTTTAACCATTTTTCATGTTTGTTAAAGTGGGAAGGAACCAAAATAAAGCCAAATGCAAGTCCAGTTGCTTTTGCTGTTTGGTCTTGAATCCTGTAGAAGTTACTACTCTGAGGCCAATAAAGGGTTTCAGGGTTTTTGCAACAGCTGTTTGAGCTCTTCCATCTCTTTGCACCGGATGATGGCTCTCAAAAGAGTTAGATCAGCCTTTCCGCTATTTTTTTGTACTTAATTAAATCAGATCACGAAAAGAATAAACTTTGTAACAAATTCTGGAGAAAATAAGGAATAATAATGTCTTCTATCTATGCATCAATCCAATTAGCAGTTCTGAGGCTGGGAAGAATAGACGATAGTTCAGGAGAATGTTCATTCATTAACATTATAATTAAAATGGCAGGAAGAGTATGTAATGTATTGTGTAGACCATCTCACAAAGATCTAAGTCTGGCCAGTGCCTGGGACATAGGTCAGTAGATCTGAGGTCTAAGACCTATTCCAGCACCAGTTTGTGTGTCGTTAGCACACCCTTTCAGTTCTCGAGACAATGTTTCTTAGCAGATAGAGTTTTAAAAACGCATCATTTTGACATGCTGAAGACAACTGTGCTTTGTCAGAAGACATTAAAACTTTGCTGAGTGTGAAGTGATTATTTCACTTATTTTTAAACCTTTGTCATAACAACTTTTCCTGTTCCCAAAACAAAAACATGTGTTTGGTTCAGATTATGAACTTCCCACTTGTAAGTTCTTCTATTGTAAATGAGGGCCTTTGGGTTACTGTTTTTTGTTTGACGTAGGCGTCACCCATGGAAGCAGCACAACTGAAGTCAGCAAGGCTTGATCTTGTTTTTTTGAATCATAAGCAGGTATGCGCTCCCCTGAGCTCTGTTCTTGAAGAGACCCTATGAACCTGCCTTGTACTGTGTTTCAAACACAGCCATCAGCACACTGCCCGGATCCTGTGCCCTAAATTTCTCGTCCATGAGCCCATGGTCCCAGAGTTTTGTTTGTGCAGGACTGTGCTTTCTTGCTATTTAAATGGCTGCTGCTTATGGCTATGGAGGTGTGCATTGAAACAGGTCCTAGGCCTGCGTGGTTATTGCTGCTGGGGGGTTGTCCACACTGCGCTTGGGGTATTAACTACAGCACAGTGTTGGTGCCAACCGGGTTAGCTTTAACCCAGTAGCGTAAGTGTTGAAAGTAAGTCAGGCTTGGTGTGGGCTCTGTGCAGCCTTGTTTATGATGCTCTGGGGGCAGGGGTTTAATATCAGAGCTAGCTGGCTTAAAATAGCAGTTTTCAAACTTGGGAGTTAGGGGTGGGGCATTGGGAACCCCAGACATGCGCTTTTATGCACATTTCTTCCCATCCTGTTCCCCCACCCTCCCCAGTTCTTTTGTCTTGGCAGTCACAGGGGGTGTTATGTGTATGTGTCTTTGGAGCTGCTCAATGCCTGAGGCAGCCTTACTGATGGAGCCTGCACTGACCTGGCCAAGGTCCAGTGACACTGGACCATAGGTGGAAGAAGTAATTCTCCTATGACTGTTACGTAAAATATTTTTTAAAGAAATTATGCTTGTAGATCTGGAATGTAGTGGCTTGAGGTAGAAGTGGGTTAGTCCAGAGGTGTGGGCAGCTGCTGGTTTGAGCAGTGCAAGAGGGAAGAACGTGCTGCCCAAAGCCGAGGTGTGAGCCTGGGGAGTTGGGCCAGAGCCAGATCAACAGGCATGGCAGGAGCTTTGTTTGCTATAGGCAAGGCAAATGGAGTTGGTAGTGAAGCAGAGAAAGGAACTGGTACTAAAAAAACAGGTGACAGGGACATGAAAGGGACAAGATTTTGGGATAGGCAGAATGTGTGGGTATGTGGGGCAGATACCAGCATCATTGCGGGGAAAAAAGTGCTCCTGAGAAAATGCTGTCTTTCAGCTTACTTGGGTACATACTCAGTGTCGTATCAGACTGTGCAAACACAGTATAGAGGACCCCAGAGGCTGTGGTTACATGAACTGGAGTCTGGTGACAGCAGTATTGTCCAAGGGCTCCTGCTTCCCCCTGCTTGGTCCTCTGCTGTGCCGCAGCTGCATTGGGGTGGTTTGTAAGGTGATGCTGTGAACCAGATAGCCCTCTGTGGGTTTTTTTTAGCCTGGGCAAGTTCAGGTTCACGGCGCTTGCCTGACCAGGGACTGCAGGAAGGCTGCATCTGAAGTCTGGCTCGTGCATTCAACAGTTTCTGCCTGAAGCTGTGCCTTCAGTGGGCAGAGACCCTGCGGCAGTACCTCCAGAGTCACATCTGGCATTACTTACCTCCATTAAGTGCTTGCTGCAACCTGGTGTGTGCTTCTTATTTTTCATTATTCCATTTCTTCCCCTGGCTGGCGACACCTGCTCCAGCCACCTCTCGCAGGGTAGAGCCGGTGCTCCTATCTCCGGGGCCAGCCAGCAGCCGTCGATGGCTAGAGGAGTTCAGCTGAAAGCACGGGATGGTGTGTCCTTTCTACCCTCCCCTGGCAGCATGTGGTGCAGAAAGCAGAATGGCCTCATCCCAGCTGTTGGGATGACAGCTCTGTCTTCGTTAAAGCAACTGATTGCCAAGATGAAGGGATTTATCATGCGAAATTGTTCCGTCCTGAATAACTTAATTAGTGCTTACGTTTTGTCCTTTGTGGGTGGTGGTTTGATGGTGAGATTCATACTGTGTTTTTATTCTACAGCTTTATCCTTTTTTTTACAAAAAAGGTGTGCTCAATAGGAGAAATTATTCCCCATACATGTGGTAATGAAGATAGAAGGTGAATGTGGTTTTGTCTTTTGCAATGCAAAGCAAGAACGGCCCTCTAGTGGTCACGGCTCTGAAACAAGCAGTATGTGGAATTTTCTTCATCTCACCCTAACAATATTGCAATAATTGCTTTCTCCAGGACTTTCTAGCAAGGAAATCATACATGATGGAAGTTTTTCCCTTCTCCTTGATATTCTCCTGCTTCTAGATTGAGTAGCTAAGATAATATTTGCAATTTAGTCATGTAATTGGCGGCTTCAGACTGTGCATCTGGGGAGCTTTCACTTAACTGACTTAACTGTGCACGTTAATAATGGTGGCAATTATTTATTGAATAATAGACTATTGGGTTTCTTAAGTAGCTAAAGCACCAAGCTGTGGAACAAAGCCTAGCATAAATTACCATAAGCTGTATGACACAGTTTGTTCCTGAAACCACAAAATTACGCCTTCATTTTGTTCACTTTTGTGTAATTCTCTTTTTTTTTTTTTTTCTTTCTTTTTGAATTCTTCTCAACAGCCCAGTGACTTCTCAGTATCTCTAAAGGCATCGGGGAAGAACAAACATTTCAAGGTGCAGCTCGTGGACAATGTCTATTGTATTGGGCAGCGTCGCTTTAATACTATGGATGAGTTGGTGGAACACTACAAAAAGGCTCCCATCTTCACCAGTGAACACGGGGAAAAGCTATATCTTGTGAAAGCACTTCAGTGACGTTGAAGATGGACTTGGCCACCTGGGCCTCTTATAACTTACAAGCCTTAGGTCCTAAATTCACTTTTATAGAGCAGAGCAATATCTGAAGCAGGCTTAAGGAATAGGCTCTTTCTAAAGTGTTTGCTCTGTCGGTTGCTGTTTGTCTTTTTTTTTTTTTTTGTTTGCCTCTTTTTTTGTGTTCCAGTTCTGTTAATCTCCGACCACCTCTCTTCAGGTTGAGAGTTTCCCTTGGGTGGCCGTGGCGAGCACTCACCTTCCCAGCTGAGTTCAAAACTCCCCTCTCCTGTGTACGTTTACATAGTTAGCTCAGATCACGGAGGGGTGTTTTCAATTCAAACCAGTGTTAATCTGTTCAGATTGCTCACACAGGCAGAACTCTCCGATCAGAGACATCGGGCACAGTCTGAATGCACTGAAGCTGCAGCTACTTAAGTGAGAGAGAGTAGACCTAACAGTTGTGGCTGTGAGTTCTGTAGCTATATCGCTTACCGAGTAGTATATTACAAAACCTCCTAGTTCCTAGAAGCACTCTTTACACTGTACTCTGCTATTACATTGCCTCTCTGACTCTTTGTAAAGAGTACACTAATTAAAAGCATTTTGTAATAGTACTTCTTAAACTACTATGGTAAGATTGTAGTAAAAGAAAACTATCTAGTGTATTTTGGTCTGTAATTGCAACAAAGAGAAATTTTATTTGAAAGTTGATTACTAGAGAAAGAATCATTGAATTGTAAAGGCTGAATGTTTTGGTAATCTACAACCAAATGTGCCATCCACATAATGCTTTTTCCTCTTGCCCTTCTGCTTGTTTGAATTAAACGATTATGTATTTAATTCTCAAAGTAATATGTATCTGTAGCTGATTGTTGACACTAATACAGAAGATTAATAAAAACTGATCTTGGGGCGGGGCGGGCTACCAACACTATATATATATTTGCTTTACAGAAAGAAATCTTCGGGTTTTACAGAGGATGGTGTGGTTGGTAGGAAGAGACACACAGAATGTTTATGAAGAAAATGCATTTTTCTCTTTTCTTTACATTTAAACTCCTTTATGGTTTAAATATACAGTCTTTAGATGGCACATTCCTGAGATTGAAGAAAGGATCATGAGATCTCAAAATCTTGCATACTCAGTTTTTTGGATATTGTAATAAAAAAGGTATTATGTCATGATGGAGTACTGGATTTATCCTTGGGTTGTGGTCCTGGTGTTGCTGTAGCAAGGTAAAATAGAGTAAATAATGAATTTGTTTGTCTTGGAATTTGTGTTGCCTAAAAAGAAAACTTCCGTGACTGCAGAGGACAGTTTGATATGAGGCAGTGTCTAATGAGCTCCGTGTTTCTTGTTTCTGTGATAAGTAAGTCCGTTCATAGCTTTAATGAAAACTGCAAGATGGAGCTGTTTCCTGGTACCTTTTTGCTATTAAAACATGTTCCTTACCTGTTCTGTATGTCAGCCAGTGGTAGTACAACTACCTCTGTGCATAATTCCAGTATGGGTTGAGCAGACACCAGTGCTGTCTGACTTGCTCTGGTGTAATCATACCACTGCCAGAAGACTGCATTGTTACGTCTGCGAATGAATTGCAGTCTTGCTCAGACCTGAGATGCAAGTACGATTTTTGAAGTTCCACACACATACTATTTTCTCACCACTCTCAAAATCTTATTTCTGTAAGGTTATCTGAATTGACAGCTGTATTTCAGTTAAGAACTGTATTTGCATTAACTACAAATTGGGCAATGGCACTTCTGCTCAGTCCAGCTTAATGAAGAAAAGCAGTGATACAGAGCAATCCAGGATGGTCATGCATTAGTCTGAAGAGCACCTACCCATGACTGTCTTCTAAGAATATAGAAGCTTTCCGTAGGAAGTTGGGGTGAAGTACCAACTGTT